CGTCCATGAGGTTGCGATGGGTTGGACATGACTTTGGAACTAACAACAACAACAATTATACTCATTTATTCCTTTTCTTTCTCTTTACTATGTAAGGGGGTGGTTCGGGCTCACCACATTCTTAAGGTGGGGGGGAAGGAGCGAATAGATAGTGAGGATTGTTTTGATTATGCGACCTTCTTTCCCGTGGGAAGCGAAGCTGCCCCTGCTGAGAACAGAAGGTGGGAGTTTGAAGAGACTGGGCCATGTGGATGGAGTGTTTATTGGAGAATGTGACTTTTGAGGGATCTTTCTAACTTACAAGTAATTCCGATTTGTGTCAGATCCGGAATTACAACAGACTTTGCCAATTGGATATCTACCTAAATAAAAGAAATTTGTTTTCGAAAATGGACTTTGTACATTTTTGAATGGGTTTGATCCCTTGGAAACCTGACCAAAGGTTGCGTAGCCATTGGCCTGGAATGGACTAGAAGACCTTCAAGGTCCCTTCCACCCCAGGTTTCTAAAATAAATTTATGATCTGCCGGCAGCCTGTGGAGCTGGCAGCAGATTCGGACAGTGAGGAGGTTGGGGAGGAACATGGGCCAGTCCTGGAGTCTGGGGAAGGCTTGGACGAGGGCTCTGTGTTGGAGGCAGAGAGGGGGCCAACGCCATCTGGGAGTTATGTGCTGCCTCCGGAGCCTCCGGAGTCAGATAGCAGCCAGGCAGAGGAACAGACCCCGCCCCTGTTCCCAGTGTGCGCATACGCAGAACTGCCAGAAAGCAAAAATAGTTAAAACAGAAGGGAGGACTTGGGAGTAAGGTTTGGAGGTGACTGGCCCCTCCCATAGGACATAAAGGAGGAGCAAAGGCACATGAGCCTTTGCAGGAAGCAACTTCATGCTGGTCCGTTTACTTTCTGAAGCTCCGTTTTGACTCTTTGCTCCGTGTGGCCTTGCCAGGCTAATTGCCAATGAAGTCTTTGGCAGCGTTTCAACGGAGATAAAGGTGGGTGCTTATCAGCCTTATCCTGAAAGACTTTGGCAGACTACTGTAGGACTCTTTCCAACTATTTGGAACTCATTACAGGCTGTGAAAGAATATAATTCACAGCCTTTGAAAGAAAAAGAGGGTTTTTGGACTTAATCGTATGTGTTTTACTGTATCAGGAAGCCTAGGTCAGAACAAGAAGCCTGGTGAAGATCAACTACAGTTACCAAGGAAAAAAACCTTTTCTTCAGCTGGAAAATAAAATGGGAGGATTCTTTCCTTGGTTTCAGACTGGACATTGGCACCTCTGGGAATCCACCAGTGGGAATGTCTTCAGGCCACTTCATAAGCAAGAGTGTTAGAAGGAGACGAGGGGCGATGGAAGGCGTTTGCCAGGGCTGAATCCCACATCTGACATCGGGGTCTCTCAAAGGACCTACCTCATGATTGGAGAGCTCCCAGTAAGGCCGATCGCCGTAGGACATCACCTCCCACATGACGATTCCGTAGCTCCAGACGTCGCTGGCGGAAGTGAATTTGCGATGAGAGATGGCCTCGGGCGCCGTCCATCGGATGGGGATTTTCCCGCCCTGGGTGGGAGGAAAAGCAAACTTGCAAATCAAAAAGCACTAATGCTGGAAGGACGCCAATCACAAAGTGTGTCACCTTTATACATAAATTATAAATAATTTTATTTTAATTTTATAAATAAATGATTTCAAAGACCTTCAAAGAACAACTAGACACAAGAACAGTTTCCCCCCCCCGAACGCCATCACTCTGATAAACAATTCCCTCAACACTGCCCTACTATTTACTAAGTCTGCACTACTATTACTATTAATCTCATTGTTTCTATCACCCGTCTCCTCCCACTTATGATTGTATGAGTGTAACTCTGTTGCTTGTATCTTTACGATGTATATGAGTTTCCTAGTATGATTTGATTGCTTATTTGTACCCTATGACTATCATTAAGTGTTGTATCCTATGATTCTTGATGAATGTATCTTTTCTTTTATGTACACTTAGAGCATCTGCACCAAAGACAAATTCCTTGTGTGTCCAACTACACTTGGCCAATAAAAGAATTCCATCCTATCCTATCCTATCCTATCCTATCCTATCCTATCCTATTCCTTATCCTATTCCATCGCTTATTCTATTCTATTCTATTCTATCCTATCCTATTCTACTTTTCTATTCTATTTCTATTCCATTCCATTCTATCCCTTATTCCATTCCATCCCTCATTCCATTCCATTCCATCCCTTCTTCTCTTCTCCTCCCTTCCCTTCCCTTCCCTTCCTTATTCCATCCCTCATTCCCTTCCATTCTATCCCTTCTTCTCTTCTCTTCTCTTCTCTTCCCTTCCCTTCCTTATTCCATCCCTCATTCCCTTCCATTCCATTACTTTTGGTTTTTTAAACATATCCCTGCCCACATAGGCTTCTGCTGGGCTTCACGTAT